CTTACACCTGTATATATACATATATAGTTATATATATATATATATTATATATATATATATATATATATATATATATATATATATATATATATATATATATATATATATATATATATATATACATGGTGTGTGTGTGTGTGCGCGCGAGCGCGGCGGCGTGTGTGTATATGGTTTGTTGTTGTGGCGGCGGTGTGTATATATGTGGTGTGTCGCGCGCATGCGTGCGTTGTATACACACACACGCACATATGTGTGTGTGTATGTATATATCTATATGTGTGTGTATACATACATACATACATACATACATACATACATACATACATATATATATATATATATATATATATGTATGTATGTATGTATGTGTGTGTGTGTGTAATATATAATATATATATTATACACACGCACACACATACATATATATATGTTATGTATGTATATATGTGCATATATGCGCCATATATATGTGTGTGTGGTGTGTGTGTGATATATTGCACGCGCGCGCCCACCACACACACATATACTGCACACACACACGTGTGTGTGTATGTATGTATATACATATTGATGTATGTACGTATATACATATACATATGTACATATATATGTATGTATGTATGTGTGTGTCCTATATCATAACACTAATATATATATATATATATATATATATACATATATATACATATATATACATATATACACATATATATACATATATATATATGTATATGTATGTGTGTGTATATGTATGTATGTGTATGTGTATATGTATGTGTGTGTGTGTATATACGTATACACACATATATACGTATGTATATATATACATATACATATAGATATATACACATACATATACATATACATATATGTATACATATATGTATACACACACGCACATATATATATATGTACATATACATATATATGTATGTGTATGTATGTATATGTATATATGTATATGTATGTATGTATATACATACATACATACATATACATATATATGTATATGTATATATATATATATATAGAGCAATATGGGTATGCTTGGTACCAAGCACAAAAAGTTGTGCTTGGTAGTGATGTGTCACATCCCCCTCCACTCATTCAAATATGGGACAACATTCACATGAGTATTGAGTGGATGAGGATGTGACACATCACTACCAAGCACAAAATTTGTGCTTGGTACCAAGCATACCCATTTTTCTCATATATATATATATGTGTGTGTGTGTGTGTGTGTGTGTGTGTGTGTGTGTGTATGTATATGTATATGTATATGTATATGTATATGTATATGTATATGTATATGTATATGTATATGTATATGTATACATATATGTATACATATATGTATATGTATGTATATGTATATATAATATATGTGTGTGTGTGTGTATATATTTTTTATATCAAAGAAGTGTATGACCGACGAGTGTCCAAGAAGTGTGAGGTATGGGTATGGGTATGACATGTGCTGGGTACGGTACGACTCCATACTGGAAGAACCCAGGTAACGTAGCTGCTAAGTTTAAAGATGTGGCCCTCTCCAGAAGAAAAATTCCTACCTTTCAGTTTCTTTATATTAAAAGAGAAAGGTTGAAATCCATGAGGGTAACAAAATACTTATATCATTACCCTTTTTTACTGAAAGCCCTGAAAACTAAAACAGGAACATGTATGAAAAGTTCCACATACACATGCTGCTAAATTTTCCTCTATAAGTTTTTCTTATCTGGAGTCCTTCAAACAGAAATGATATTTAGTATAACCAAAAAGTTCTTTATACATGCTGCCGATTTCCTTTAAAGATGTGGCCCAGAGAGCTCCTAGCTTTCAGTTTCTTTATATTCAAGAAGGAAGATTGAAATCCATGAGTCTAACAAAATATTATTTCATCTCTTTTACTGAAAGCCCTGAAAACCAAAACATGGAACGCGTATGACATCTTCTTTATACATGCTGCTGAATTTTCCTTTTAAGTTGTTCTTCTTTATACATGAAATCTTCTATGAAATCTTCTATGAAATCTTCTTTATACATGCTGCTGAATTTTCCTTTTAAGTTGTTCTTCTCTGAAGTTCTTCAACCCACGTAGATATTTAGTAAAACCGAGGATACTAGTTCCTCAGGTTTCTGAAAAACATCAGAAAACTGTGTTTCTTAATTCTCACTGATTCTTCTTTCCAAAAATAACATAGAAGAAACAAATTGCAATCAGATGGGAGAAAGAAACTGTACCTCGATAAAACCATCAACTGAGCATGAAACTAAATACTGACCATCCGGCGAGAATCGGGCACATTCTGGGTGACTTTTCTTCCCAAACTGAGGGGAAAAGGACACAGAAAAGCAACTGGGTAATTAGCCACAAAGATAAGAAGAATTACATGTAAATAAAAGAAAGAGTACACGCAAGTGCTAAAGACATAAATATGCATGTATTGATCAAAATATGAAATACCATATGTTAATCATCGTATAAAAATTAATAAAAATAAATAAGACTATTGGAAATAAGATATTAACACAACTATTAATTGAATTGAAAAGAAAAGAAACGTATACGTAAATAGAGAAAATATAAATGTTATAGCTGATTGTTGGCCTCAATTCCGGCATTTTGGCACAGCTTGTCCAGAACTGCTAGTACCCTACAGTCTAACCAGAATATCAGATGGATTAAAATCTTTTATGTTGAAGGGAAAATCTTAAAGAACAATTTTCTCCCTAATGATGTTGTATGGATCACGATGTTGATGGCAAATAAATAATGTTATGTCAAAACACATTTAGCTGACTATTAAATCTCCAAAATAGATGATTCACTGAAACCTCCTAAACCTCATGGGTTCAGATGTCAGTTTCACTCTGTTAGGATCAGTATTTAGCTGTTTGATTTGATTAGGTATATTTCTTTGTTTGGATTAGAAATCAAGTTCATATGACTATATGAGAACTAGTTAAGGAGCAGTTAGGTTGCTTAGATAAACCTAAATAAGTTTATTAGTTCTCTGGCTAAGATCCAAAATTCCCGAATGGTATATTAAGTATAATTTTAGTCTGTACTCATTTTCTAGAGCGGAAGAATCAACCATTTATTTCCAGTTATCTATCTTATTTGAGTTAAGAGTTCTTTCCTACTGTGCTCCCTATTACTACAAGTCCAAGAGTGCAACTTGAGCAGGAACGTTGAGATGGGCAAGGGGCAATAAGGAAAAATAAGATCACACGTTGAGCTTATTTTTAAGAAGTCACAAGAAACACCAATATGGAAAAGATGATGACAAATTTACTTGCAATTGGATAGCACATGTGCAAAGATGGTTTCAGTGGCACCCATCTAAGATTGACAGAATGGTGGTTTAAAAACTACAAGGTTTTTGCAAGAAGCAACAAGGATTAGGATAGATCAAATAGGTAAGAAAGAGAGATGAGTTGGTACTTGAGAAAGCTTATAGGAGAAATAAAGTACCCAATAAACGACTCAAAATTTAAAGAGAAAAAGGTTCCAACTTGTTCTTGTTATTCATGATGGAAACGTTTGCAGTCCAAAATCAAAACCATATCAAAATATCATCCTTGCTCCATAGAAAGACTAGGAAATATGGAAAACTATTTTAAATATACACTAGTCAACCTGGTACGAATCTAATTACTATTAACAATTTTCCAAAATTTTAGGAAATTCATTGTAGCAGTCACCGTACAAGGGCTCGGCCGGACCTACTTTCACACTACCCAAACTAAATAAAAATTGATTAGATGATGGATGCATCTACGGGATGCCGGGCTTATCCAAATTCACTGGTATAATTATACTTACTGCATTCCATCAAGATTGAGGAGAGAAGTTTCCAGGTCACTAACTCAGCCACTGATAAGTACCACTAAGCAGTACAGAGAGGTAACTATGGCATTTTACAGATTCTAATTATGATGAACACAGTCTAGGATCCTAGATTAGTTAAGCATGTTGACAGTTCACACCTGTGTCGAAGGATATAACAGTCAGAGTTCCACTTACATTGATCTTCATCAATAGACAGTGCTTATGCAGTAAAAGCGATTCAGTATAAAAACAATGTAAATCAAGACAAACAACAGTTTCCTTCATCAGTCAGAACTTTTCATTTTTAGCACTGATGCTACTCTGGTGAAAAAAATTCAAAAGTAAGGGCCAGGACGGTATAGGTGCCTAGGGCACACAGAGCCGCTAGATCCACCTAGTGGCCACCTAACTAAATTGCCTGGAAGGCTGGAATATTTAAGCATCATCTTAGTCACCCACCTAAATGATTTTCATAACAATACTCTAGAAACTATTATTACCATCCAACGTTGTCTATTTACACAGCTCGAGTGAGACATTTACTTTCCTCATGCTGGAAAAGGGAATTCAGTGCTGGATATTCTACTGGCACACTACAATATCTATCTCTTTGCAGCAAATCAAAACACATAGTGTGGTGTCAAGGACTTCAAGTCTAGTGTCAGTTAACATAACCATCACAAATAGGCAAAAGAGTAGTGCTTGTGTGGAGAAATAAAGAGTACTGCTTGTGTGGCAAAAATAAAAGGCTAATTTATCCAAGTCAGTCTTCACCTTTATTTGATGCCCGAGAGTTGTAGGATACATATCATCCTCATCTTGCTTCATTGCAGCAGTTCCACGAAATAGATCAAACTGTGTTCCCGGTGGAAGCAACCCTGTAACAACTCAAACCAACTATGTTAACAACTTAACAATATTGGCTTCACATACAGCCAGGATATCAGGCTTACATTAAACCAAGTTAGCTAATAATGAAAGGCCAACTAACCTTGATGTTGCTGCCACTTTAGGGCCTGACCAATCAAAGCCATTAGTCGAGACGGCGGGACAACATTAACTTCAGAGGCAATAGCTGGGATAAGAACAAATTATGGAAAAAATAAATAAATGATATGGAATGTAAATTTTAGATAATATAACTTAGAAAGTCACAAAGAAAACTAATATGTCCACCATCGCATAAACAATAAACAGAAAGGTAGGAGATTGAGTACTTGCCAATGCTCAGCTCTCTGCACATTAATAGTATAATAATGCCACCTCAAGATAAGAAGATGATTAGTCTTGAATATGAAATATCAGGATGCTTATATGGTGCCAAGTCCAGAAAGAGGAGGATTATAATGACTTGTATGAAGAGTAGGTTTAGTTCCAACTGAGTACAATCCACAAACTGGCCTTTGTTAAGGTGGCACCTTTGGTATCAAATAGGACTCTCCTTTCCCTATAAATGTTTGGTTTCCATCATTTTTTCAAAAATAGATCCCTTGCCCCCACAAGTGCCATTATGACCCGATGTTGTTTATTTGCAATCACTTTAACAAGCTATGCCTATACATTTCAAAATTTCTAATTGCAGAGCATCAAAAACGAATAACTACCTTAAGAAAATATTTCGCCGCATGCTCTTTTTCTTTAAGCATTTAAGCCCTTCCATATCTTGACAAGTTTCCTAAGAAATCTCTTAAAACTTACTAATTGTGACCATTTCAAGAGGTTCCCTCTTTAAAATGACGCATTCATATTCCCTACCCTTTTGCACTTATTTTTTTTCTTTAAATGCACACTATAAAGCTATATTGCCGCAACGTACACATGCTGGCACAGATATGACAAGGCAGATAGGCAGAAAAATTTCTAAAAAGTACACACAAACTAGACTTCATGTTCATTACATATATAAAATATCCAACATGGCATGGTTTCACAATAGAAGTATCAAGTGTATGCCCTATGTAGTTCCCCCACTTCTTCCTCGCCCTTTGAAACTCTTAAACTTCGGTTTACAAGAATTGTAAAGTTTTCTCTCATCTCATAGCCATAACTTACGGTATGTATTCGGTTTGAATCTTGGCTTTATCAGTGCCTCAAATTTGATTGAAATTAAATTGTATTATATTCCCCCTTCTCTTAAACTAATCCCTTCAAATTATGATAACTTTTACCATTGTTCATAGTTTCCTTTCCTTTGCCAGAAACTTGGCATTATAGTGAAGTTCTTTGAGTTCTTCATGGTGATTTTCTCCACAATGGCCCCATTTTAATGTGAAAAGGATTATAATGATGATAATCATAATGACTCAGCAGGTACAAACTTATATTGACACTTCAAAGAAGCAATCATTGCATAAAAGAAACATTATCAATCTTATTTATAGTCACAATTTGGTTTAGAAGTATCAGCACAATTATGAGCAAAATTTAAGCAGCTTAAAATCAAACCTTGAGCAATCTGTGACCGGCGCTTCTCCTTAGTAGACTCTTGATATGCCTGTCAAGTAACACATAAACCATCAGCAAGCACTCAAATCAGAAAACAATATCAAATCATTAAGAGCATGACTCCAGACCTCATTGGGATCAAAATAAGTCCGAACTAAGAGGTGCTCAAGCCGCAAATATCTCTCAGGCTGCTCCTGTTTCATCACACCCATCGCCTGCGTCTGCCTCAATATCGCCCGCGCAGTATCCAACTCACGAAGCTCTATCATTTCCAACACAATCTGCCAAATAACTCAAAAATCAACCCAAAAAACTCAACTTTAACTCAAATCACAAATAACCAAACCCCAAAGCTGCTACCTGTTCATAGAGATCCTCCAGTTTCTTTCTCGGAAGCTTGAGCTGAGAAACCTGAGGCAAGATAGCATCCCATCTCCCGCTGTTGATATCGGAGACGAAGGTCTCGAGGCTGTCGACGGTGTTGAGGGACACCTGGCACTCGTTCTGCAGGGTTTGGAACGTTTGGTGCAGGGAATTTTCTTTACAAAACTGGAGGACAATCTTTATAACGCTGCAAAAGAAAAAGGACAAGTTTTTAGGGTTTTGTTGAGGGAGACGAAAAGGGTTTAGGGTTTAAGAGGTGGAGACTTACTCTCGAGCTTCGATCTCTAGCGCTGACATTGTTGGAAAGTTGGAGAGGGGTAGAGATTTCCCTCTGTTGCTGCTGCTTCTTCTTCTTCTTCGTTGAGCTTCGCTTGATTGAAGAGAGACGGAGCGTGCCTCTGAAAATTTTTGATTGGGAAGTGGAGAAGATTGAAGGTTGGGATCTGGGACCACCCTTGGGCTGGATAAATTTTAAAAATCGACCCATTTACAAAAATAATTGCAAAAATTTATATTTTTTTAACATATTTGTGAAAAATCGATTCAGTTTAGCAGCTATGTAACTAATCTGTGTAAGTTCACGGGACTTGAAGTCATGTGAACTTATAAGGAGTGTTTTACCTTCACGAGATTTGAAGTCCCGTGAAGTTTCCGTTGAATTTTCAGTTTTAAACAAATTTTAAACAAAATCGACATATTTCTCCGTGAAGTTTTAAACAAATTTCATAGAACTTGAAGACCCGTGAAAGAGCTGGCATTGTTAATCAAATTTCATTAGAGGGTCTTAAACTTCACGGGACTTGAAGTTTCGTAAGTTTTTTGGTCAAAATCGACTCAGTTTCAGTCATCTTGCTGAAACTTGGTCGATTTTGATAAATATGTTGAAAAGAGATCGATTTTTGCAATTATTTTTATAAATGGGTTGATTTTTAAAATTTGTCCGTTGAAAGAGTTTTAAAGGAGGTAAGGCCCGTGGCCCGTTATGGACCCAATTCAAGGGAAACGGATTTAGTTAGGCCCAGTCACTATTCCGATAACCACCTTGACTGCCACAGTAAAACTAAAGGTAAAAACTAGGATGCACAGTAAAATGTGGAAAGGGGGTGAGAGAAAATTATTCCTTCATCCTTCCCTTTCATTTTCCATGAACTTCCTGAAAAATATTGTGCAAAATTATGTACTGGACAGAGGAACTGCACGTGTTGTAAAGAACTAAATTATGTATCTTTAAAAAAGTAAAAACTTTATTGAAATAATAAAGTTTTACATTAATCAAATAGAAATTTGTGGAAAAACTTCATTGGTGACCCTATTAAAGAAAGATATCTCAATCTATGTGGACACAAAAATCTGAATATCATTTACCTTTTGATATTAACTTTTTGTTTGTCTTAAATTACATAAATTCGTCCCTACATTTTCATTACTTACAATCTTGTTTTAGGGTCTACCGAATTATAATAACAATACTTTTAGGTCCATTCTTTTATCCTTTTTCCAATGTCTTTAGATAGCAATTATTCGGATTACGTAGTGAGGATAAAAACACTTTCAATTTTGCTAATTTTTTGTATTTTTTGGACAAATGTTTTTTAGTTTCTTAAATGTGTAAGATATATGAAAGAATTTGGGCAGCTTAATTATTTGTATGTGTTTGAAAATTAACTAAAAATATCGTCTAAAGGTGACCGTACATAATTTTCTATATCTATGGAGAGAAGAATTGTATTATAACTGCCAGCAAGATAGGAGGCCATATGAATGATTTTAATTTTAAGAAGGTAGGTAGAAAGTGCTTTTTACAATTAAAAAAACAGAAGATTCAAATTGAATATAAAAATTGTAACTAATACCCGTTCATCAAATCAAACTAATTTTAAGAAATAATTTCTTTATTTTCGAAATTAAAATTGAACAAAAAAAAGTAGCTTAAGGTGATGAGAGAGCAGTTAGGGTTTGTTTGGTTTGGTGAAGTTGATGTTCCAACTATATTAAAAGTTTAAAACTCTAATTGGCTAGATGTTGGTATAGTCTCATCAACAAAATAAGTTAAAATGAAGGTGTTGAAACTACACTCAAATTCACAAGTGTTGTAGCAATTTAAATCGAGTAACAATTTCTCAAACTGCTTTTAACTCACAGTAACTGCCGATGTGGGACTAAATAAATGGGACAAATCCTGCCGGCCGTTAGCAAACTCATCTGAACCCTTTGTTTCTTATGCCTTCTTCGCTTCTTCATCAGCCATTGAACTGCTTTTAACTCCAATGATTACCGACGTAGGGCTAATTGAATGATGAATCCCACCGCTAGAGACACTCACCTCAACAGTCGTTCTTCCTTCTCATTCTTCTTTTATCTTCATCTTCTTCAGCCATCGAATCATATCAAAGAATGTATTCTTCTTCTGGTTCTTCGTCCTTTGATGCATCAGCATGGTATCAGATAAATAAATTTAAAAAAGGCTAAATCTCAGAAAACACTCCTTACAATTTGGATGATTATCTAATTACCCTCCATATCTTTCAAAATATTAGAAAACTCCTCTTTAGCTTTAACATATATTTTATTAGAAAACCCCTTAATAATATATATATATATAGAGAGAGAGAGAGAGAGAGTGTGTGTGTGTGTGTGAGAGAGAGAGAGAAATATGGGTATGCTTGGTACCAAGCACAAATTTTGTGCTTGGTAGTGATGTGTCACATCCTCATCCACTCACTACCCATGTGAAATTGTTCCCACATTTGAATGAGTGGAGGGGGATTTGACACCTCACTACCAAGCACAACTTTTTGTGCTTGGTACCAAGCATATCCATATTTTTCATATAAGAATTAATATCTAATATCGTATTATATTATAATATATATATTATACTAGAATAAACTGTTAGAGCTGCCAGCCCGTTTCGGCGCATGCAGGTTTTTCGAAAAAAAAACCACCCATTTCCCTCCGACTTCTCTCTCTTCCACAAATCTCTACTTCTCTCCATAAACCTCCAAACGAGCACCGAAAAAACAAAGATCCGCTCCCCCGTGCCCGCCCCAAACGAAGCCGGCTGCGAGGACTCCGCTCCAAGCCATCTCATCCCCTGTGAGCGCTCTCAAATTGCGACAGTTCATCCTCCGCGAGCCCCTCTTAGCCGCTCCTTTGAGCAAGCTTCCACCCCCGCTGTGTCGCCACCACCAGCCCCTTCCCTTCCTCTTGTATCCTTTCCGCGAGAGTCGACGACCAAGCCGCCGTGATTCCATCTTGTCCCCTCTTTCGACCGACCAACGCCGCCGCAACTCCCCCCCCTCCCCTCCCGAAATCAACAAACCGCGAATCGGAGCGCCAACCAGCCCGATTCCCGTCAGGAAAATTCAGCCGTACCCACTTAATCCCTCTCAATGCACCTAGTTTAATAAGAAAAAAAATCAACCAACGATATTTAGAGGTTTCGAGGGAGGACGGTATAAAAGATCTGTTCTGCTGCTATAGACTTTGTTACTATTTTCAAAATTCATTTGATAGGAGTTCTTTTGGTATCTGGCTTGCAGGGTTTAAATTCATTGAGGTCAACTTGGTTAGAATAGTCTCTTGAATTTGTGATAATAAGTAATTCTATTTGATGTCGAATCAAGATAGGGATGAACGGTTCGGATATATTTAATTTCTACTGGAATTTATATGCAGCCAGTCGTATGACCTATTTCTCAGCTATCTAGTTGGATCCTAATTGAGCGTTATTAGTTTGATAAAGCAAACCGATTGAAAAGGGTTTTGGTAAAAAGGCTGCTTGTTACAATATTCTACACTGCGTAAAGACTGATTTTTTTAGGGATATTAATTGTATTTTGGTGATTTAATAATTTTTGCGATGCACTAATTTTTTTTACCTCCAAAATGATAAATGCAACCTCTTTGTTTGACGTTATCTGAAACCCTACATTTAAGAGTCCATGCATCTTTGTTACTGCAACTATTATGGAGCCAATTGGAACACAACTTTGGAGAACCATGAATTCTATATTTTTTCATGAAAGTTCATAACACATAATTTTTGCCTTGGTACAATTATATGATTAATTTGTCATGTGATTTGCAGCTAAACGAAAATATGTCTGGATTCTTGAGCTCCACATGCATGGATTTGTTCATGTAAGTATGTCGGAATTTGTTCCCTTTTGCGACGGTCATATGGTAGCCGCATTAATGTTCAATTTAGTTTTCCGAGATAATATATAGCATTACCCTCCGCTTAGATATCACAACTTATTAAGAGGGGCATATTGTAGCAATTTAGCTTTGTTAAATTTCCTAAATTGCTTCCATTTTCTGTTTCGCTTTCAAGCATATAATAATTGGTTCCATGCATGAGTCAACATATAACATAGAACAATCTAATTATCTTTTATTTATTTTCTACTCCTGTGTAACCAGACTTTATGAATCATTTCAGGTGGCAGTTTAGCTTTCACATGCACGTGGGTGGTTCGAGCAATTGTGGCAATTTGAAAAAAATCCAAGCATGAAGTCTGAATGTATCAACAATGAGTTTTGTTGTAACTATTTCTATTTTGAAACAAGAAAATGTCTCTAATTTGTGAGAGTTATTGGATGTATTATATTATGGTCGATACATTTGTGCTGCATATGTGTTTATCATTTGCTACATTTGTGCTGATGTATTCAGGCAATCTTAGCTACATTTGAACTGTGCCTGCATTTGATCAAAGAACTGGTTTATAAGTCAGCTGTCATATATTTTGGCCATTTGATTTCGTTTCATGCATTTTCTGCTGATGAAAGCTTGGGCAAAGGCTTATGAGCTGATAAGTTCTTGAACTGTGCCTGCATTTGATCAAAGAACTGGTTTTATAAGTCAGCTGTCATATATTTTGGCCATTTGATTTCGTTTCATGCATTTTCTGCAGATGAAAGCTTGGGCAAAGGCTTATGATATCAACAGCTCAAAAGATCGCACCATGAGCTCTTTGTCTATAATATCTCTTTGTTATCAGTTTGATGTTATTGGATTTGTGCTTATTATAAGTTGAAGCTATTAAGCTGCATTGGCGCAGTGCTGTACTAAGTTCTAGAGTATCAGGGGGTGGAAACTGGAAGCATCAGAGTCAGAGCTGGCAGTGAATTTTCATTTCAACACGAATTCTGTAGATGTACATGTTATCCTGTATTTGCTTCTCAAGTACAAGAATAATGAATATCACAAATGAGCTTCGTTGACTTCTCAAGTACATGTCCAGCAGCAACAACATTACAAGCCCTTCCAAATAAACTCAAGTACATGTCCAACAACAACAACATTACAAGAACAATGAAAGAACCATACACAACATTACAAATGAGCTTTGTTGACTTCTCAAGTACATGTCCAGCAGCAACAACATTACAAGAACAATGAATATCACAAATTACAAGCAGCAACAACAGCAGGCAAACTCGTTAGACATGGCCAGCATTTGATTATTCTCAAATAAACTCAAATAAACAACAGCCACAAACAAGCCCTTCCAAATTTCAAATAAACTCTCACAAATTTGATACATTTTCTTGTTTCAAAACAGAAAAAGTTACAACTCATTGTCCTCCACTTTCAGGCTCCAAATAGTAAGATATAAGCACACACAGCTAAATGTCCTCCACGAAGATATAACAGGAAAGAACCATACACAGTTTAAGCTACTTGGATGTTCTCTTTGCCAGTCCCAGTTCTATTCATCATCTATTCATCATCTTCCTGGAAAAAATAAGTTTGTAAGTAAACAGAAAATAAAACGACAATAACCACAAGCTAAAAAAGGAAGCATACGACAATAATGGAACAGCAGAAAAAATAAAACACGGATCATACGACAATAACCACAAGCTGAAAAAGGAAGCAACTATCACAAATTGAACCCCAGGTTTAACTGCTTATAATAACAAAAGCAACAGGGGCTCATAATCGATAACTTAAGTTGCAAATCTGAAACAACTGTTCAAAAGGTTCTCACAAATCATAGGTCTGTCAAATAATGATAAAGATAAAATTCAACGAAGTAGAAAGTTATGATTCAGTTATGATTCTTATGAACGACACGTGTTTCAACATAGAAAAGTTAATCAGTGTCAAAGGTGTCCAATGTATTTTCATTGTGCTGCACACATAGGCACCCAGAAGATGCAAAGTTGCATATTATTGTCATAGCTAAGATCCAATCAATAAGAAAGATAAACTAATATGGATTGGAGTATGAAGCTCATGCAATGCCAAGACTTTGCCAGTACTTCCACAAATACAACCATACCAGACTCCAAACTACCAGAGCTAAATTTGTTCCACCTAATCTTCAAACGCGGGTCAAACAATCCAAATCTACATAGATAACCAAAAATAGCATTAATTACATCTTTCGTGCTTTAATTTGTTTCTTCACAGCCAGCAGTTAACAGAAAATATTGGTAGTTTCTGTAATATAAAGTCGGATGGACTCTTAAATATTTGGAATTAGTTCTAATTTTCTTTCGATTCCAGGACAACGATTTAGTCTCAAGAGCTGCATGATGCCAGACTTCACATAATTAGTTACTCACTTGCATACATTTTATACGGTAAATTGAATAAAACTATACAACCTATGCGCGTAATTTTTCAACCAAATTAAAATTCAATTCGCTGACTATCACGTGATTCAGAGTCAGTAGAAGTTGTTGCTCAAAATTGTTTACAAGAACTTCTTCATATTTGTGTTTGCTAGGTTTCATATTTGTTAGATGCTCTCGACTCTAAAGACAAACAGTTTTACTTGTTCACAGCCAGCAGTTAACAAAAAATAAAGCTTACAGATTTTGATATCCAATTCCGAAACGATAGCATGGGTGATGCAAACGAATTTAAAAACAAACGAAATCACTGCAGAGCTGCATGATGCAAACTAAATCATAACTCAGTTCAAAACAAATATATCCATATCCAAAAAATCACACCAAAAAAATTCATCCATCTCCAATTTTAGCACAATCCAAACATAGGGATTGAGGGAGAGATCGAGAGAGATGGTTAGGGTTTTTACCTGCGTCGGCGTCGAGAGAGAGAGAGGATGAAGCGGCTTCGACGGGGCGTCGCCGTCGGCGTCGAGAGAGGGAGGAGGAGGGTCTACGAGAGGAGGGTCTTCGAGAGGAGGCGTCGACGTCGGCGTCGAGGGAGCGCTGCAGGGGAGGCGTCGGGGCGTCGCGTCGGCGTCGTTGTCGTCGGCACGAGAGGGAGGAGGGGAGGCGTCGGAGTGAAAAGAGCTGAAGGAGAGGAGAGGGATCTGGGGAGGGTGAGGGGGAAGACGAGATCGGAGATCTCGTGCTCAGATCTGAGAGAGATTTGGGAGAAAAAGGAGAAAAAGCTTAGAGATTTGATGAGAGAGAGAGAAGGTCACGGAAGGGGAATAAATGCGGCTGGGTTTTTTTCGAAAAACCCCCTGCAGCGCTCTCAACATATTTTTCTATGAAATTTATAAATTCATTATCATTAGAATTTTGTTCATGTTAAAAGGTTTCTTTGAAGCCTTCAAACTCGTCTATGGTTTTATTTCTAAGTAAGTTTCTATTTTTTTATTTTTTGTTTGAGTTCAAGAAGATCGATTTTTATATTTCCTTGTTCTTTTTGAAGTCCTTCAATGTTTATTTTACTTTTAATCTTCTTGTCAGTTTGAATTCTATTCATTATTTCAGAAAAAGTGTAATACTCACTATCTTTCTTTTCTTCAAGAGCTTTTACTAAAAAATTTCCTTTGTTTTTAGTCATTTCAATATACTTAGTTAATTGTACTTTTTTTCCTTGTGGATCAGTGATAGCATCGATAGTATCTAAAATAAATTGTCCGTGCTCACTTAGAGACTCCGGTGCTGAGCAGTTCATCACTGAGCTACTGGTTTGTAAGTTTTAAAATTTATTTGAACAGTAATGAATAGTAACGGCGGAAGCAAACTAAGTAGTAGTATTAACAAGAGACACTTACATACTTGACGGAAAATAAACTTAAAAACTAGTAGCTCGGTGATGAACTGCTCAGCACCGGAGTAGTAGTACTAGTACACACTTATCTTACAAACACTCAAAAGAAAACTTGAAAGCAAGCCTTACCCAAACTCAAACTCAAACTTCAAACTAAAAATTAAAACTTAAAAGAGAGAACAAGAGGGAATTCTAAAGAGGATCTCACTTCACTCTCCAAAAAGTCTCCACTTCTTCGTGAGCTCTCTCCCCCTTTTATAGAGTTTTAGAGATACTATGCTAAGATGCCTTCATAACTTGTGGGTCCCACTTGAGCAAATTTGTCAAAAACCTACAAGAGATTAGGTAGAGTAGTCTTTTGACAAAAGTATATTCATGCTTAAGTATACAAAGAGGGAATCCAAAGTAGCAGACAGTGTGTAGTCATATCTGCTGTCATTTCATCTGCAGTTGCTGCTTTTAGCTGTGAATAAAATTTGTATAAAAGTTAATTATTTTAAACTAGAAAAAGATATTGATAGGATTTGATCGACTTGGTATTTAAGTCGTATAATTAATCATATATGGGATTTACCATGGCATATTTTATATAAGTCCAAAACATTCATCATCATTGTTATCTTCACTATCCATAGGAGTGTCTTCAAGCTCTGGTTATTATTTTTGTTTAACAAGTTCTGAGGTATCAGCAGGTTCTGAAGTAGAATACACAGTATCCATAGGTTCTAGTATCATTAGCATTTCATCATAAGTTAATGATTTTAATTTCTCTTAACTTGTATTCGGATATTGTAGCGTGAATTTATCGTATAGGTTTTCTTGGATAGTCTTCATCTCAGATCTTTTAGGATGTGACTTCAATCCATATTCTGTGCTGTAGTCTAGGAGTAGCTACAATACCTTTTCTCGATGTCGACCACCGTGCTTCGATCGTTGACGCCTTCACGAATCGCGCACCGATCAAACCTCTACGAACCATCGAACCCCACTCTGATATCACTTGTAGAGATTTTTAGATATCATAAAAACCCCAAAAAACCACCAAAAGCAGCAAATAAAATCACAAGATTTAACGTGAAAAATCCTCAACAGGGAAAAATCATGGGATCAAAATCAATCCACTATCACCTCCAAATTATAATCTTTTGCATGAACAAATACTGCCAAACTCTCTCTCTCTCTCTCTCTCTCTCCCTCTCTCTCTCTCTCTCTCTCTCTCTCTCTCTCTCTCTCTCTCTCTCTCTCTCTCTCTCTCTCTCTTATTCTCTACTCTTCTTCTTCTTCTTCTTCTTCTTCTTCTTCTTTTCCTCTAACAATAGAAGTACATATATAGGGAAATCAAAACCCTATCTCTAGCCTAATTTCCTAATTAGAATAAGATTTAAACTCCTAATCATGATAGATCTCTAACCATATCTAATTCTCATGAAGTTATACAAAGAATTAAGAACACTATACTAACTTGGAGTTTGAGTTGATACCCAACAAGAGTAACTATATTCTTTTCCTCAATATCTATGATGAGCAAATGCACTTTCTGTTTCTTTAAGGATCTTCTCATAGTAATGGGTAGTTTTACCAAACATTGTTGGAACATAGTAATAGTCTTTGGGCAGAAATTTTGCTGCCATTTCTACATGCAATAAAGTCTGATCAGAATTTTCAAGGATGACAAGTTTATCCAATGTTTTTTGATAAAATTGAGAGTACGCTTCCTTTTTGTCTTGTGTTAAGGAAGTATGAGAAGCTCTCTCTCTTTCATATGGGAGAGTCTTTTGGTGATGAGAGTCTTTTGATAGGGCCATATCCTTGGAGAGGAAATCAAGCAAATTATTATTATCACCTTTGATAAATTCTATATCGAAATTAAATACAGTAAGAATAGCTTGCCATCTAGCAAATATTTGCTTAGATGCCAAATTTTGATCATCTTTGTTGATAACATATTTGGCAGACAAGCAATCGATTCGCAGTAAAAACTTTTGATTTAATAAATCACTTTGAAATTTATTGATAGAAAGAACAATAGCAAACATTTCTTTTTTAATTGTTGAATAATTTTTCCGAGTGTTGTGCCAAGCACCGGAAGTAAAGGCAACTAGAACTTCTTTATTGTTAATTTTTTGTTTAAGAATGTCACCATATCCAATATTGGATGCATGGATTTCTAGTATTTTGAAAGTTGTTGGATCAGAAAGAGATAAACAAGTCAAAGATTTAACTTTTGTTTTTATTCTTTTGACAGCTTCAGAGTGTCTTTCTGTCCATTCAGTACAGACCTTTTTTAACCTATCATTAAGAATTTTTCTATCATAAGCAAGGTCTTTATAAAAATCTGAGACATAATTCAGACAGACCAAAAATCTCTTTAATTGTTTAGTTTCTTTTATTTCATCAGGAAATTTATCAGCAAAGGCAATGACTATATGGATAGGAAAAATGGTACCTTTATCAATAGAATATCCTAAAAATTTGTATCTTTGTTTGAAAAAGTTTTATTTTTCTAGCAGAGACTACTAAACTATTGTTTTTAATAATTTTAATGAAGATATGTAAATATTTCCAATGTTGATCGATATCTTTAAAAAAACAAGTACATCGTCAATGTAAACAATGGTAAAGGAAGTGTAAGTATTAAAAAATTCATTCATTATTTTCTAAAATTCAGATGGGGTATTTTTTAAGCCAAATGGCATAACATTCCATTCATAGTGACCGAATGGGACAGTAAAAGCTATTTTATAACTATCTTTTTCAGCAATTTGTACTTGCCAAAATCCTGATTTCATATCAAATTTTAAAAATAATTTTGCTCCTTGTAATCACTTGATTAGATCTTTCTTGTTTAGGATAGGATAACGAATCCATTGTAAAACTTTATTAAGAGGTTTGTAGTTGATAACTAATCTAGGAACGCCTCTTTCAAGTTCAGCTAGGGGTGAGCACGGTTCGGTTCAAACCGAAAAAACCGACCCGAACCGACCCGAACCGATCCGGAAAAAGCAGTTTTATGAATAAGGCGGTTCGGGTCGGGTTGACAATTTTTCAAACCAACCCGACCCGAACCAACCGAATATATTCCCCTGCCTCAAACCCTACCCGTTTACCCAAAGACAAAGCAAGTCCGTTACTAAAAAATTACAACGTCAGAGTCTAGTATTTAATCCAAAAGGACAAGTTACTTCACTTAAAAACAGTATACATACATGAGCAAGAATAATAAATTGAAGTGAAGTTAAAAAATAAATACATGCTGGCATAGAGTAATAAGAATATATAAAAGATAAATTGAAGTGAAGTTATACTTGATGAAGTTAGAACCGAACAAACCGAACCGAACCGCACCAAACCGATTTGTAATGGTTCGGTTCGGTTTTGAATTGTAGATGGTTCGGTTCGGTTGTTCAAGTTTTGGTAAAAACCGACCCGAACCGAACCGTGCTCACCCCTAAGTTCAGCAGCATTTTCAACATAAAAAGCTGCACAACTCCAATGAGAAGAGCTGGACCTGATCAAATTTTTATTTTGTAGATCAGAAATTTCTTGTTTACACATTTCTAAAAGTCACTGACTCATTTGTATCGGGCGAGCTTTGGTAGGAATTTTATTTTCAGAAAAATCCTTTTCATAAGGAAGGTTGACAACATGTTTTTTCTAAACCAAAAAGCATAAGGAAACTGAGAACAAACTTCATTTTCAAGTTTTTCATGGAATAGTTTTAATCTTTCAATAAATTGGTTTTCATTGATTTGTCTTTTAATTTTTCTCAATTTGATTTCATCAGAAATATCTTGAAGGAATTTTTCTTTATGAGATAAGGAAGAGATCAAATGATTAAGATAAGCTTCTTTAGGGGCGTTGTTAAACTTAATAGTATATTTAAACCTATTAGTATATAAATTGAGTCCCTCATCATCTACAAAAAAATGTTTAAGTAAATTAATGAAAGGAGTACCAAGAATAATACCTTGTCTTAAATCTTTAACCAAAAGAAATGATGTTTTTAAACATAAGCCTTGGTTGCAGCCATGAACATTAGAAAGTTTATATTCAACCCTGAGACTTTGACCATTTGCAGAACTAACTCCATGAGTTGTTTTTTCAAAGTATTGAGAAGGAACAATGTCTTCTCTAATTAATACAGTTTAGATCTGCTCCAGTGTCTATTAAAGCAGTATCTTTGACAGTGAAACTGAATTGAATTTTGAGAATAATTTCACATCCACTTTTGTTTAATATATTTTTCTATGGTATTAATTTTATTAGAATATTCTGTATTAATTTTATTAGAATATTCTATGTTGTTTGGCTGGGATTTTAAGATATTTATTTCTTGCTTAAGATTTTTAAGCTGAAATTTGACTTCTTTTTGTTCCCTTTTAAAATCTTCGATAGATGCCTTTTTATTAGACTGAAATGTTAAAATAGAAGAGTCATTTCTTTTCTTTTTAACTATCTCAAGATATTTTTCTAACTGTAATACCTTTTGTTGAGGATTAGTAATAGTATTAATGGTATCAAGAATGAATTGTTCATGTTCATCTAGAGTGTTTAATTCAGAAGAACTATTAGAAGACGTTGTAGATGAATCAAAATTATTTTATTTATCAGAAGTGTAGAGATTATCACACTCATCACTGGATGAAGAATTAAGATTTAAAGCATTAATAATTTTTTCACCTTTTTCTTAGTAAAGTTATTGGATTTTAATATTAACTCGTTAACCTTCTTTTTAATGTCCTTTTGAAAATATTTGTTAGCATAATGTCCCTTCTTTTTACATTTATAACATGTAGGAGTCTTTGCAGCATTTTTTCTAAAGTTCCTTTTAGGAGGTTTTCTTTCAATTTTATCATTTCTAGGATTTTGTGTTTTTTGGTAATTTTTAGGATTATTTTTTATTCCTGAATTTTCCATTTCAAACTGATAGCAAAAATCTCTCAATTCCCTTTTTCCTAAGAGGTTTTGATTTTTTAATTGGTTTTTAATTTTAACATCGTTGCAAAGTTTTAAACCAACAGTGTTGACCTTTTGGACTAATTCTCCAAATGGGATTTGATAATAGAGAATGTAGCCATTACATTTTTCTTTAAGAGATTCTTTAACCTTTTTGGCAAATAATGGTGGAAGACTAGAAACGAATTTTTCTTTGCAAATGGGATTATTACAATCATGTAGTTGGTAAATTTTTGATAGAAAAATATTTTTATACCATTTAAAGTCTGTAAGGGGTTTACACCTAAAATTTATGAATTGATCTCTGACTTTATCTTGGAGGCTATCGACAAGACCTACAAAATGATGATATATTGCTAGTAGCAGGGTATAGACTGCATCATTAATTACTTGTCTTGTCTTACCAATAATTGGTTCTCTGAGTTGGGTTTTTTTATAACTATTTAGAATGTTATGTTTTTGTGATTCGGTAAGGTACCAATCCCACCAACCTTGCAATTGACCAGAAAAGGATGAACATAAGCCGTCGGCGATGTCTTTTTCAGGATTACATTGTTGTCTACAAGCGTTAGCATATATAAGCATTTCTTGTAAAAGATGTATTATTTGATATTCAGTATAGCCGTCAAGATTCCATTCAACTAGAGAATTACCATCAAAACTTATTTTATGGTTATTAATTTCTTCAAAATTGCATATCAGCAGGAGTGAGTCTCCTATAGTAATTTCTTGCATTATTTGAAGAGTATGGATGTTTTTTAATATTATGAATCTTTAAGGGTTTGTCAAAATCATGATGTGACTTATAATTAGATATTTCATCGAATTGGGATTCAAGGTCGGATAGGACATTGATAGCAATAGATTTTTCTTTATTCATATCTTTTAGTCTCTTAGTTAATTCTTCATTAAGATCATTCATTTGTTCACAAGTCTAAAGGGTTTATTATTTCCTAATTTGATATTGTTGGTGAAGCCTGAGGAGTAAAAGGTGGTATAATTATTGGGTGAGTCAGAGGTCTGTTTATGTCAAGAATCATATTTTCAATTCTATATGTTTGTTTCCCTATTGTATGAAGGTGAATATTAGCAAAATTATTTTATTCAGTCACAAGAGCAATACTGTCTTGTCTGGCTATGTTACTAGTAGATTCAAGAATTGTGATGGGGGTAGCTTTAACATTTTATTTTCCTATCTTTATTGATTCAAAGGGTGGATGTAAATATTCTATTTCTTTATTTTATTTGTCTTCCATGTATTGGATACTGTTTTTAAAACAAATGCGTTATTTTCAATAGGTAAATTTTTTAGAGAGTGTTTTAGATCTTCTAAATATATATAGCTTCATACCATAAGAAAAAAGCTATATTTTGCTTGATAGTTGGCATGAAGTCATAGTATAAGGCTCTAATGGATGATCTAAAATCTTCTTCGTATGTTTGGAAAAACCACTCCTTTCTGTCTCTATTTTTTAAGAGTTAAAATATTGCCTTAAGAATTCTTTATCGATTTCAAAGGATGGTTTATTATTAAAATCTTCAATAACATTTATACTTGTTGACTCAACGTTGTATTTAATCTCTTTAGGTTTTTCTTTGTTATTAGAAAGATGTAATTTTTTAGAGTTTACAGTTCAGAATTTTTATCTCTGAGGGAGGATAGCTTAGAAACTTAGGCATCTTAAGAAAGACTTTATGACATTAACCTGTCAACAGCAAGGGATAAACACGGATGAAAGAGCCCTAGACGCACTCAGCTAACGGGCGAAAACCGTGAAAACTACGACCACTAGTTAAGGAAATGAAGACTTAAGAAAGAGGCTAAGAAAACAAGCTAGATATTAAGCAAATAGTAGCAACTCTAAAAAGTTCACAGAATCCTCACCAGTCAACAACACCGGATGAACACAAAACAAAGTTGTGTAAGTCGCGACTACAGTAAGTAAAGAGAGAACTAAGAAAGAGTACTAAAAATGCTAGAGGTTCTAGATCATACTAGAAATGTTAGAGAATTAATATTCGATTCAATGTAAGCAATGAAGCATAAAAATGCTCAAAATTAAAGCTTTTATAAACCAAGCATACAATATTGTAGTAGTTTTTTACTATAAATATCTACAATTGTTTTATTGTATGAGCATTAGTATCAAGGAGTGAGCAGTTTCTCACGGGGATATACACCGACGAGCCGGGGTTTAGGTTTCACCACCGCAGGCCGACTCCACTATCGGCTAACTTGGCTCTGATATCAATCGTGACCAGGACTGTTTTAGCCTTGATACGACAGAGCTAGCTCGTGGGGAATACTGTGTAGACGGAGAAGAGGATATATCACCGCCCCGACCACGTCACGAGCCCAATCACGCCGTCGTGTTTTAGGAGCTGGAGCAAGTTATGGAGCTGATGTTCAAGCTGGAATAGAGGAAGGCACTAGTGGAAGACTTGTGCTGGAAACGAGTGCAGTTGGGAACACATACACATGAACATGGACTGATATGCAAGAGAAATACAGTTGGAGGGGTTAACTCGCAAAGTCTCTAATAAAGGGACTTATCTTGTAATAAATGCTAAGTGTTCAGTTACAGTAGTTAATTCTGTTCATTCTGTTAATTCTATTGTGCTGTGCACGTGCACAAAACCTATAGCTGAATTGTATAAAAAGGGAAGGATGTAATAATGAATAATCATCAGGAATGAAATAGTATTCTTCTCTTATCCTTAATTCTGAGTTCGTTCTTTTCTCTCCCTCTCTCTCTCTCTCTCAACTCAACTCTCTCTTTACTATCTCAATTCTTCTCTATCTCCGTTCTTAATAATCTGTATCTTCCAACAATGGCCAGAAACAACAATTTGAGAATCAACTGAGGTTCTCGAACCTCACACCACGGCTCCTCCTCTGTCGTCGCAAATCTGTCGGCTTCCCCTTGCAACATTAACAATGGATGGCTCGTCTTCTCATTGTGGCATTCTCTTAGAAGCCGCCTCCTCGAGCGAGCAACAATGGGCGATAATGACACCATCTGCTGAGAAGGTAATACATTTTACATCTTTGACTTATGAAAAATTATATAATTATCAAGGATGAAGATTACTTACTTCAATCTTATGAATTGTCCACGTTACTGTATGATAATTTTGGCATGTCTGTTTATGCTTTTTATAATTTTACATAGTCATTTTGAAGGATTTTTTTCCATATTGAATGACTATCCACTGACCGTGATTCCCTTTTAAAGCCGCATCTTGCCCAAGTTTGCTTTGGTCAAGAATATGTCCCGAACTTGGGACATGATTATGAGAGGTCTCAGTACTTCATTATAATAAAAAAATCTTATTTAAAATAAAGCCTACAGATTTAAGCCTTTTGATTGAAGGACTGCTGAACTGAATTGTTTTGATTTACAGTCCAACATGCATACAAATGTACTGAGTCCTTGTAGAAACTGTAGTTCAAAATTAAGGTGGTCAAAACCCAGAATGAATCAAGCATCTAGAAGTAAGCTAATTGTTAATATTTGGTTACCTGTAGAGGTGTGCCCGTCAAAAGCAAGCGGTGATTGTGGTTATTGGTGTATGTGGTTAATGAGTCTATCAATATTTGTGCATAGCTAAGGTGATTGTGGTTATTGGTGTATGTGGTTAATGAGTCTATCAATATTTGTGCATAGCTAAGGCGAGTACGTGGAATTAGTATAATTTGTGACTATATTCTATCAATATTTGTGCATAGCTAAGGCGAGTACGTGGAATTAGTATAATTTGTGACTATATAGTAGTTGATTATGGAATATTAACATTGTTCATAGGCTCTTATTATATCCTCTTAGTTATGTTAGTTTTATTCTCTCATAGTAAAGTTTTTTTTTCATTGGCGAGTGTTAAATTGTTCATATGCTCTTATTTACATTTGTATGCTTTTTTAATTATGACAGAATTGCGTAACGGGAGATATTGAAATGACAGACATTGCATCCGATGGCTCTATCTTGGGCACTAACATTCCACTAGATGATATTACTCCATTTGAAGGGAAGGAGTTTATAAGTGACAAAGATGCATACAACTATTACAATGCTTATGCAAAGAAGATTGGGTTTGGAATTCGCAAAGACACTTTGGAGAAGTCAAAGAAGGCTTCAGGGGAGATTATTTCCAGAACATTTGTATGCAACAAAGCAGGGAAAAAGAAGGTGCCGAGAGAAAATGAAAGTGGAATAATTAACAACCGCCGACCGGAAACTAGACTTAATTGTGATGCAAAAATGAAGATTAGGTTGACTTCCTCAAAAACGTGGAAGGTTACTAAGTTTATTGCCGAACATATTCATGCTTTAACAAGTGAGATAGTTTGTGAGATAATTTACAAAAGTATTTTGGAGCTCAAGAGTAACGAGGTGTTATGTACTATTTTGGTTATTGACTAATGTATGGACTACTTTGGGTGTTTATTGACTAATATGATTGTATGGACTTGTTGATGTCAGTGAACTTTGATGATGTATGAACTTATTGATGCTATTCAGTTTTAAATTATTGGTAAGTCGTATTGTATGTTGTGGTTGTATTGAAGTATTTATATGTTGTGGTTGTATGGACTAATTGGTTGGATTTTGTAGTATTTTGGTTGTTTTGGTGGTATTGAATTATTTGTATTACAAGATAGTCTATACATACCCTAACTTGGTATCATTATTTTGAATGTATGAGGAACTCTTGGGGCATGGATGTAATAGAAGCAGACCCATGGAAACATTTGCATTTTATCGCCAATACCATCCACCCTCACCAACATCTTTCTACGGAGATCGGCTCGAAACACTTGCGAGGGTAGCAGACCCGAAAGAGCATTTTTCTATTAAATTTGAATGGATATCCATCATCTAAACGTATCTCATTTACTTAGAACCTCCAGTAATAGTAAGAAATATATTGGCATAAAAAGGCGAGACTAACTAAATACCAATGCATTTCGCAGAGCCAACATATCTGCAAATGCTTTTGAAGAAGGATAAATATGTTGGAGTAAATACAAATATGTAATATGAGACAAATTGCACAAAACTTCAACTCTCTATGAGACATTGGGCATGGATGAATACTAACAGAAGCTTTGGCATAACAACATCTTACAGTGCAACTATGAATACATGGGTAGGCTTATAATACAGTTTATACACAGCATAACCATTAAAATCGCCAACAACATATCACCATCAAAGCCTTTGGGAAGCTAGTCTCCATCAATCCCCCCTTTGGGATTTAAAGGGTTAAAAGCCTTCATTGCCAGGTTCCAATCCTCTAGAACTTCAAGTGTGAATACAATTCAAATCAAGGAAGCCTGTAGAACTTCAAGTGTGAATACAATTCAAATCAAGGAAGGTGTGTCTGTTAAAATCTCATAAGAATTAGTGGCTGTTAAAATCATGGAAACAGTTTCAAATCATAGTCTTTCAAATCCTCTCGAACCCGCAAAACCAAAGAGGAACATTTCCCGTCGCGGCGGAGTCGGCGAGGTTGGTGGGAGGTGTCGCGGCACAAGTTCTTTGGGGGCGAGGAGTCATGGCGAGGGCGAAGCCGGCCAGATCTTATACGACGAGCAGAGCAGCAGCGCGGCGGCGCTGATTGGGCTTCGGCGACGTGGTCGAGGCGGCGGCGGCTGGCGGGGCGGGGCGGGGCGCCGTTGGTCGAGGCGGCGTCGGTCGACGGTGTCGTCGGCGTTGGTCGCCGGGTGACGTGGCAAGGCTTGCGGCTCGCCGTGGTCGGCGTGGTTGCGGAGGTGTCGATAGCGGCAGGCGGCGTTGGTCGGGAGCTGCGTCGTTTGGTTGGTCGGGCGGCGTGGCGTTTGTTCCAGAGAGCTAGGAGGTGGGAGAGACGAGATGAAGATTTTGGACGGGTAGGGCGTTAGATGGATGAGATTTTGGAGGAGAGAGAGAGGAGAAGATGGTCTGGCTCAATTTCAGAGAGAGGTGACGGAGAGAGATTGGGAAAAAAGCCAGCTCATGCTTTCTCAAAAAGTGGGTTTTTTTTAAAAGTACATGACTTTTTCTCCATCCACCCATGTGGTTAGATGAAAGGCCAAGATGAATACACCTCCACTTACCAAGTTTTTTTGAAAAACTCTTAGTACAAGTTTTTTCCCATTTTCTCTCTCTCCTCCTTCTCTCTCTCTCTCATATATTATATATATATATATATCTACTATTATATAATATATATATATATATTATGCTGAGAGAGGAAAATGTATGTGGCTACCAAGCACAAATTTTGTTGCTTTTGGTATAGGTAGCATATTACCCTGCACTCATTAAAATCGGACCGCACATTCACATTAGTTTTGGGGATGCTGGTTGTGTGAATGATAATGAGTGGATGTGAATGAGATACCTCACTACCAAGTATAAATTTTATGCTTGGTACCAATCATACCCATATTTCTCTCTCTCTCTCTCTCTCTCTCTCTCTCTATATATATATATAGTTGTGTGTTGTGCGGAAGCGTGCTCGACAACCAAACGAGTCCGCGAGACACGAGAGAAGATTAACAAACCAAGCTCGAGCACAATCCAAACAAATACGACAAAAAATCACAAACACAGATATATGTGATTCGACAATTTGCCTACATCTACGGGAAGAGGAAAGAGAGATTTCACTATTTTGAGGAGAGTACAAAAGAGTTACAATCACTCAAACACTCGAACAAATCCTAACCAAAGATCTCTCAACTCGCTCACAAGTTCTCCCTCTCAAAGTGCTTAGAATACTCTCTATTCTCTGATAAACAAAACCCTAAAATCATGTTTCAATATGTATCAAAATACGAACCAAATCAGAATAGGAAATAAAGCACATGCCCAAACTCGACTGGCGGTTAACCGTCGAAATCGTCACGGTCGACCGGACAGAACGACAGAATCCAAAAAACCATTACAGGGTTTGACGGTCGACCGACCAGAACTCCAGAAATTACCCTGTACTCGTGCACGTTACACACACACACACACACACACACACACACACACACACACACATATATACACACACATATATATACACATACATATACACATACATACATACATACATACATACAGACAGACACACACACACACACTAGGTTTTATGCACGTGCAATGCACGTGGTCAAATATCATGATTAAGTATATTTGGTTTATTTCCTTACTAAAACTTGTTCATCGGTTCCACTTTGATTGCTTTTGCTTACTTATATCTCTAAACTTTAGCATTATGGTTATTTATTTTCTTTAATATTCGTTTAAATGAACTATACCCAATTTAAATTTTTATATTGATAATTGAATTGACAGGAAATAAATATAATCCGAAATCAATTTGAATTATCATGTCATTGAGACCAACATAAAACTAAGCTTTGACCTGAGAAAATATAGCATTGTAAAAGTGAAAATACTTTAAAAAATAGCATTCTAAAAGGAAAATGAATAATTTAATTAAAGCTCATAAGACTAGATGATTGGGTAAAAGTGTGCTAAAATGACACAAAAGATAATATGGAGTTTGTTCCTAATCCTTGATAGACTTTAAAAAAATTATAAAATAAAGATTAATACTAAATCTAGTATACTTTTATATAATGAAAACATCCACAAACATATAAAAGTACTAAAAAAGTTTATGAAAATCCATTCCAAAAATTAAAAATTTACTCCAAAAAAATCTATTCTATAAAATATTCAAAAAATAGTACCTTTTATTCCTTCTGTTTTATTTTTTATTGAGATGTTATCAATCCTTCTCCAACTTTATCTTTTTTGATAAAATTAGACTACTTTTAGATGCCAAAAAAGGTAGTAAAACCTTAAAATAAAAAGTTAAATTTACATATCTTAATGAAAGAATATCAAACAACTACTCTTTTTTTTGCTATGTTTTAAAATTTTAGTCGCTTTTTCGTGATTTTGAATTTTTAAGGGTGTGTTTTGCAAATTTTGAAACTTTGAGAGTGCTTTTTAAAAATTTTAAATTTTAAGTTGAGTGCTTGTAATTTTTATGTTTTATGTGTTGGTAGTAAGTTTTTTAATGTCTGAATATTTCTTGCAACTCTGAATTTTGAGGGTATTTTTTGCAATTATTGAAACTTTAGATTTTTTGTTATAAAATTTAAATTTTTAGCGGTCTGCTAATAATTTTGAGATTTGATATGTATTGAGGGTTTCACGTTTGTTGTTTTATAGTTTTTAAAATATTTTGAGATTTGATATATAATAAATTTTTAGCGGTCTGCTAATAATTTTGAGGGTGTTTTTATAGTTTTTAAAATATTGAGGGTTTCATGTTTGTTGTTTTAAGTTTTAAAACGTCTAGATATTTTGTGTAATTTTATAATTTTAAGGGTGTTTTGTGTAATTTCTGAAACTTTTTTTGGGGGGGTTTTGCAATCTTCATATATTATAGCTTATTAATTTTTAAATTATTGACCTGTAAGTAGTTCACATAGGATTAGGATAAGATATAATTATGATTATAATAAATTAAATTTAAATAAAATATTCAAATAGTCAAGGATAATATTGACCATGGAAAGATTTTCCCGAACCCGTATAATTTTGAGATTTGATATGTATTGGTTATAAGTTATTAAATTTTATGGTTTTCTGTGTTTTTTAATTTTCGAAGGAGTTTTTCGGAATATTATAACTTTGAGGTTATTTTTTACAATTTTTAGTTTTTTAGTATATTAGAACAGAGTCGTGATATATTATATAATAATATCGACTATAATTAATATAATACATTATATAATAATATATGTTATTAAAATAGTATATAATATTATAATAAATATGTTGTACTATTATATAATATAGTATGTGATATTGCATAATAATATAATAAATATCATAAAATAAATTAAACATATAAATTAAACTATAATAATATTTTATTTTATCACATGATAATATAATATAATATATTGAATATATTATTACTTTATATTTTATATATCATGTCATATATTTATAATATAATTAGCATGTATTAGTTAAGTAATACAAAAATGTTTAAAAATTATCCCAATTGTCTTCAAAGTGGAACAAAATTGTTCCAATACGAAGGATGGGGTAAAATTCTACTATTGGGACATAATTTTTATATATGAATGAGGTAATTTTATCCCAAGTGGTGAAATTGTCTCACTAGTGTTCCAAAAAAGTAATAACACAAAAATGTAATATCCTTGTTGCATTGTCCCAATGAATAACACTATGAAATAGAATCCCTAAAATTATCCCATTATCCCCCCAAATGTCCCAATGAATAAACCCCCTTAGGGGATATACTAATATTTTAAAACTTTATGATACTTTTTTGTTATAAAATGCAACTTGTGGTGATTATATGCTCCATAGTGAAAATTTTAGGTATTTTTATGCAATTTTGCCTAATATTTATGAAATAAATTTAAATTATCTGAATATCATTTTTGTATTTTTAATGTTTCACAAACTATTATTTCACCTACTAAAACACTTACACTATTTGCTTTTACTAGGATTTATGCACGT